GTTTTATTTATTATGATAAGTGGGGATGGCTGTTAGAATGTTGTCATTTCCCATACGAGTTAAATATCGACAATAGGAGGGATTTCGATTCATTGCTTTTAAGTAGTAGTAGTGATTATGATGACTGCCCCAGTTACATTCCGTCAGTGTTTCCATTACTGAGAGACAGTGAAACTTGGAAGAGTAGAAGGAGGCGCCGGTATGAAATCGTACGATATATCGGGACTGGGTGGTCTGTGTCGAAGGTCCCAAAACACTGGTTGAAATAAATTCTGATTGTTAAAGCATCATCAGCAATCATGTAGCCATAATAAACCAATAAATCAGAATATACTCAGACACAACATATTGATACATCGCGGTATAAGCAGAGTTGATTGTACTTTCGAATTAAAAGGTGTCAGGATCGAGGCCTAAGGACGACGTATTCCTCTCCGATTCCGCAGCACACGAAATAGCCATCGGTAATTGCGCGACATGGTACAGATGTTGCCAGATTAGGCCAAAAACTTGGACAAACACAGACTATCCGGATATATCCAAAAGTTTTGGACAACTAAAATTAGATTGTCCAGATATATCCAAAAACTTGGACAGACACAAATTGCCCCATTTATCCGAAAATTTGGACAGTTTAGTGAAACGATAATTAGTTATAAATACGAGTCGTAGATAGTAGCTAAAAATCATCGTTCCGATCATTCGACTCATATCTTCAGCAAGACGTTGCTAAATATAATAGTTCTTTTATTCTAATAAAAATCTGATTCAAATATACTTAATTCATTTATTCCCTGATAAAAGATACTTGCATCGTTTGGCGAAGTGTTCAAAACGCTTTCCCCGTCAGCGGCGAATACAATTAATCCTTGCCAATTAATTCTATTTAATACTTTTGCATTTAGGGGTATTGTTTAATTATTACTAGTAGTTTTCGATAGGTCGTGAATTTAATCCCATCACGAAAATCGCTGAGATACTCGAGTTTAAACAATAATCCAGGGACAGCGTATACAAAAGCGATAATATACATCGTGAGTATTAAATTCTGTTTAAAAGGTCACTAATTGTACAATATTTGGTTTTAAGTAGGAAGAGCAAAAGCTTCCGTTGGAAACGAACTAAATCCCAAAACGGCTAGTGCACCGCTGCTCTCCCAAGCGTAAGCTAGTCCGACAAAGGCCAATGCATAATTTTGACTATTTATGCATTTATACCCAGTAAATTACAGTAATTGCAATTAAAGTACTAGACACATGTCTCAGAGCAATCTCCAACTCATTTAATTTTTTAGCCGCCTTTTAAATATGTACTATTGTATATGTCGTATGCAAATTCCATCCCAAAATCTATGTACTCCCACTTGTCAGTTATAACATAACTTGTTCTTAATACACTCCCCTGCCAAAGTCACGAGACTGTTCTATTGATTTAATATTATCGCTGCAGGTTGAAATAAAATAATTTCAAAAATGTCAAAACATTTATCTAAAACACAATCTCGACTGGTATAGAAAATAAGCGTGAAATTTGTGAATATGCTAGGCGACATCAAAAAATACCGAAAATACCATTGATGATTCCGAGCAGTAACCAAACAATGTAGGCATAGATGTTAGTGATTTGCGTGTTTTCCGCAAGTATATGAATTTACTTAACGTCAAAGAATTCCAATCAAAGCGTCAACAAAGTATTGATGCTTACTTTAGTGCTAGTTAGATACCGATATTAATATCTAATTTGTTATCTAATAATAATAAATAACAGACTTATAGTAATACAGTCACATGACTAATATAGTCTCCATATACAATCACACTCCCATACAGTCACAGGTTTTATCTGGTCCCAACTGTGTGACTATAGGGGAGGCCGACTGTACTTTGTTAGTATGGCTTTTTTTCACCGACAAATACCTCGAGCGCTTCGACATTGTGTTGTTCGCTATCCTAAAAAGGAGTCAACTCGTGTTCCAACGGGGAAAAACAAACACAATTATGAGATTGATGACGACAGACAAATTATGGAATTAGAACTACCGAGAAATTGCGGAAAAGTGTTTAAAAATCAGGTAGCATATTTTGAAAAAGTATTGGTAACCAACAATGAGTTGCTAGAATTGAGTGCAAGTATAAGGCAATTTAAGACGAAGCGTATACAAGACTTGGAGAAGACGTATAAACATCTTACGCACAGACTAGAAAAGAAGGATAACCTTATACGACGATTAAAAGAGGAGAACAAAGAACGTGTACAAGCATTAGAGAAATATGATCATATTGTTGCGCAGTTCACAGATTTGATGAGTCAAAAAGAAAAGGAATTAGAGCTGCTTGAGCATTTCAAAGGAAGAGTGATTCAATTTGAAAAAATTTGCGATGTTAGGTCAGCTTTGGAATACATTTGGGCAAAGGTAAGGATTCGTATTATGCAATAAATGACTTCTTTGTTTTTATTTACTATAGGTTTTTTGCAAAAGATTCTTGCAGAGACTGATAAACCTTCCAAGACGCCGGAACCTGTTGGCGTTGTGTTACAGCGGTTCTTTGAAAAGTACCAAGAAGATGTGCGGGAAACATGTGAGATAAATAGATTGGACGTAGACTCTGTGAAAGCCCGTGTTGCCAACCTCTATAATATTTCATGTAAAAGATTGCATGGGTATAAGTCTGTTGTTGTAATTTGTGCAAAATACTGGGAAAAACCTGAGGTAATTGCTTTGGCTCTCATGTTCAGGCGTTACAATATATGTTTTGTTTATTATAAGAAGTGGGGAAGTCTGTTAAATTGTCGTTTCCCATACAAGTTAAATAGCGACGATATAGATAGGAGGGGTTTCGAGTTCTTGCTTTTAAATAATGATAACTACCCCAGTTATGTTCCGTTAGTGTGTCCGTTACTGAGAGACAGTGAAACTTTGAAGGGTAGAAAGAGGCACCAGGGTAAGGATAAATATAAATTCAGTAGTTCATATCAGAAATTCTGGATTCCGAATTGAGACAGGTCCCAAACTCAGACGCAACATATACAGTGACTCACAAAACCAGCAAAATGTTTGCAATTATTGAATTTAAAAGCTTGTAACTTCATGAATATTGAATCAAATTTAATGATAATTTAACTGAAAATAACCTGCTTTCTGGGTTTTACTACACATTTGTTTAATTCAAAAAAACTCCCTCCCTCAATAGTTATGATTTTTTAAATTTACATTAAAAAATATGAAAATAAATAATTTATTTAATATTTTGTATAGCCACCCTTGGCTTTTAACACAGCAGCAACATGCCTAGGCATACTTTCTATTAGATTAATACATATTTGAGGTGGAATCTTGTTCCATTCCACTTCTACATGTTTCCACAACTCACAAATATTACAGGGGTCAGCCTCATATGTAACAAGCTGTTGCTTGAGGTGTGCCATAGATGCTCAATGGGGTTGAGGTCTGGTGATTGTGCAGGCCAATCCAGCACCTCAACGCTATTATCTGTGAACCATTTTTGAGCAATATGAGAACTGTGTTTGGGATCATTAAGATAATTCTACCCACTTCCATCCCATAATACTCAAGGCTCTGCAGGAATTTTTCTTCAAGTGTAAAGCTCTGCATCCACATCCATATGCAACATGCATAGCCAACCCCTTGAGCCGTCATATGGCCCCAAATCATCAGACTTCCACCATCAAATTTAACTGTACCCTTGATATGCTGTTCTGTCATTATCCCACCAGGCTTTTTCCACACCCACTCATGTCCATCAGACCCCAAATGATTAATTTTGGTCTCATATGACCAAATAACATGCTTCCAATCTTCTGTAGTCCAGTGTTGGTACTTTGTGGCAAAGTCAAGATGCTGGCAGATATGTCATGGCATAAGTCAGCCTTCATTCCAGCCTCTTTCAAAGCACAACGTACTGTCTGGGTACTGAGTGTTACATTGGTAACCTCCTTCAATGCATGAGTGAGCTGAACAGCATTGTCTGCTTTTCCTGAAGAGCCATGCAAACCAATCTACACCTGTCAGTTGCTGTCAGCTTAGCTGGCTGTCCACCCAGACTTTTTGAAATCTCAGGTCTTGTCTTTGCATGTACTCTATCCACTGCTACATGGCTAATACCTAGCTGTGCAGCTATTTTATATGATGAAAGCCCATTATCAAGTAGTGCAACAATGCTGTTATGGGTTTCTTCAGAAATAGGTTTTATTGTGAGGATTATGTCAAAGAAATAGCAAAAAGTTCAAACAAATTTTTATTATGTAAACAACAGACATGTAAATGACATGTTTTTGGCATTTTTAGTCATGTTTGAGTACCTGTATTATGTGATACAAACGTTTAATGGCTAAGTTAGTTACAGGATACAAAACCAGCACAATGCACTAATAAAATTTAAAAAATTATGTCTTTTTGAATAAAACAAATGTGTAGTAAAACCCAGAAAGCAGGTTTATTTTCAGTTAAATTATCATTAAATTTTATTCAATATTCATAAAGTTACAAGCTTTTAAATTCAATAATTGCAAACATTGTGTTGGTTTTGTGAGTCACTGTATATCACAGTATAACAGAGTTGACTGTACTTTGGAATTAAAAATAATTTTGACTATTTATGTATTTATTATTATGCCCATTAAATTAAATTTTAGTACTAGACACATGCCTCACTAACTCTCATTTTAGTAATATGTTGTATGCAAACTGTCCCAAAATCTATGTACCCCCACTTGTCAGTATATTGTACACTGTACATACTGCTGAGACTACATGCAACATAACTTGTTCTTAATAATTTAGACAGCTAACACAACTGTTGTATGTCAATTTGGAATTTATGTCAATCTAGAATTGACATATGTCAAATTGGAATTGAATAATCAATGAAGGCAACAT